TCCTTTGTTTTAGTTTTATTATTTTTTAATGATTACAATCTTGTATATATCATAGAACATGTCATTGAATAAACAGTTGTTAAGCAGATTAATGAATCAACAAATACATGCTACTAAGTCTGTAGTCCTTAGCACTAAATGTTCAAAAGGCCAATATCGGTTTGTGATAGAATTTTTAATATTTAGGAAAAGAAGATGATTTGGCTGAGTTGACAGAATTAAGGGACTCATTATTATTTTTTAAATTATATTGCATCCATTATTATTGTTGAGAACTTTGCTCTTACAAGAGTATGCTTAATGAAATTTACTTTTATTTTCCTTATTTTTCAAAAATATTGTCAAATGTATGTCTGTCTTCACATTAAGTACAGTATAATACTGAGAGTATAAAACAAACCCACACAAAACTAACAATCTACATGGCAACTTTACACATAATACATTTCCATAACATACTTCAAAATGAAGCATAAGCAAATCATATTTATTTTATATGATACCAAACTTCACTTATAATATAGTAATTATATTACAATAAAAAAGATATAATTTCACTATTCAGTTATATATTTCTAACCTTGAGACATTCAATTATAGGTTATTTGAGAACATTTTATTCACAGAGGTTGACCTCTGTAAAGATTAAGGAATTGGTAAATACTGATAAATATTTTTCTCCATTATGTTGGAGAGACATCAAGGCAAAAGTTTGTTTAATTTTACTATTCTTTAGTTTTCCATGGAGCATATATTTGAGAAATATTTGTTTTATTATGCTTTAAGTTCTGGGGTACACGTGCAGATCATGCAGGTTTGTTACATAGGTATATATGTGCCATGGTGGTAGTTTGCTGCATCCATTGTCCCGTCATCTACATTAGGTATTTCTCCTCATGTTATCCCTCCCCAATTGCCTCACCTCCTTCTATTCCTCCCCTAGTCCTGCACTGCCCAGGCGCCAGTGTGTGATGTTCTCCTCCCTGTGTTACGGTGCTCTAATTGTTCAACACCCATTTATAAGTAAGAACATGTGGTGTTTGGTTTTCTATTCCTATGTCAGTTTGCTGAGAATGATGGTTTCCAGTTTCATCTATGTCCCTAAAAAGAACATGAACTTATCTTTTTTATGGCTGCATAGTATTCCACGGTGCATATGTGCCACATTTTCTTTATCCAGTCTATCATTGATGGGCATTTGGGTTGGTTCCATGTCTTTGCTATTGTGAATAGTGCTGCAATAAACATACCTGTGCATGTGTATTTATAATAGAATGATTTATAAACTTTTGGGTGTATACCCAGTAATGGGATTGCTGGGTTAAGTTGTATTTTTTTTTCTAGATCCTTGAGGAATTGCCACACTGTCTTCCATAATGGTTGAATTAATTTACACTCCCACCAACAGTGTGAAAGTGTTCGTATTTTTTCACATTCTCTCCAGAATCTGTCTCCAGATTTTTTAATGCTCACCATTCTAACTGGTATGAGGTGGTATCTCAATGTAGTTTTGATTTTCATTTCTCTAATGACCAGTGATGATGAGCTTTTTTTCATATGTTTGTTGGCTGCATTGATGTCTTTTTTTGAAAAGTGTCTATTCATATCCTTTGTCCACTTTTTGATGATGTTGTTTGTTTTTTTCTTGTAAATTTGGTTAAGTCCTCCTTAGATTCTGGATGTTAGCACTTTGTCAGATGGGTAGACTGCAAAATTTTTTCCAATTCTGTTGGTTGCTGGTTCACTCTAATGATTGTTTCTTTTGCTGTGAAGAAGCTCTTAAGTTTAATTGGATCCCTTTTCTCAATCTTGACTTTTGTTGCCATTGCATTTGGTGTTTTAGACATGAAGTCCTTGCCTATGCCTATGTCCTGAATGGTATTGCCTAGGTTGTCTTCTAGAGTTTTTATGGTGTTTGGCCTCATGTTTAAATCTTTAATCCATCTAGAGTTAATTTTCATATAAGGTATAAGGAAGGGATCCAGTTTCAGCTTTCTGCATATGGCTAGCCAGTTTTCCCAACACCATTTATTAAATAGGGAATCCTTTCCTCATTGCTTGTTTTCATCAGGTGTGTCAAAGATCAGATGGTTGTAGTTCTGTGGTGTTATTTCTGAGACCTCTGTTCTGTTCCATTGGTCTATATCTCTGTTTTGGTACCAGTACCATGCTGTTTTGATTACTGTAGCATTGTAATCTAGTTTGAAGTCAGGTAGTGTGATGCCTCCAGCTTTGTTTTTGTTTTCTATTTTTTTTTTGCTTAGGATAGTCATGACTATGTGTGCTCTTTTTCAGTTTCATATAAAGTTTAAGGTGGTTTTTTTCTAATTCTGTGAAGAAAGTCATTGGTAGCTCAATGGGGATAGCATTGAATGTATAAATTACTTTTGGGCATTATGGCCATTTTCCCAATATTGATTCTTCCTAACCATGAGCATGGGATATTTTTCTATCTGTTTCCCAGACTAATGAAAAAGAAAAGAGAGAAGATTCAAATAAATGCAATAAAAAATGATAAAAGGGATATTGTCACCAATCCTACAGAAATATAAACTACTATCAGGGATTACTAAAAACACCTCTATGCAGATAAACCAGTAAATCTAGAGGAAATGAATAAATTCTTGCACAGTTATACCCTCCCAAGACTATACTAGGAAGAAAGTGAATTCATGAAGAGACCAATAACAAGGTCTGAAGTTGAGACAGTGATTAATAGCCTTCCAACTAAGAAAGGTCGAGGACCAGATGGGTTCACAGCCAAATTCTACCATAGATACAAAGAGGAACTGGTACCGTTCCTTCTGAAACTATTCCGAACAATACAAAAAGAGGGAATCCTCCCTAATTCGTTTTATGAGACCAAGATCATCCTGATACCAAAACATAGCAGAGATGCAATTAAAAAAGAAAATTTCAGGCCAATATCCATGATAAATATTGATGCAAAAATCTTCAGTAAAATACTGGCAAACTGAATCCAACAGCACTCAAAAAGATATCCATCACAATCAAGTCAGCTTCATCCCAGGGGTGCAAGGCTGGTTCAACATCCACAAATCTATAAACGGAATCCATCACATAAAGAGAACCAAACATAAAAACCATATGATTATCTCAATAGATGCAGAGAAGATCTTCCACAAAATTCAACTGCCCTTTATGCTAAAAACTCTCAATAAACTAGGCATCGATGGATCGTATCTCAAAATCATAACAGCTATTTTTGACAAACCCACAGCCAATATCACACTGAATGGGCAAAAACTGGAAGCATTCTCTTTGAAAACTGGCACAAGACAAAGATGCCCTCTCTCACTACTCCTATTCAGCACAGTGTTGGAAGTTCTGGCTAGGGCCATCAGTCAAGAGAAAGAAATAAGGGTAATCCAATAGGAAGAGAAGACTTTAAATTGTCTCTGTTCGTTGATGACATCATTGTATATTTAGAAAATCCTATTGTCTCAGCCCAAAATCTCCTTGAGCTGATAAACAACTTCAGCAAAGTCTCAGAATACAAAATCAATGTGCCAAAATCATAAGCATTCCTATACACCTATAACAGACAAACAGAGAGCCACATCATGAGTGAACTTCCATTCACAATTGCTACAAACAGAAAAAAAATACCTAGGAATACAACTAACAGGGGATGTGAAGGACCTTTTCAAGGAGAACTACAAACAACTGCTGAAGAAAATAAGAGAGGGCACAAACAGATGGAAATATTTGTTAAGTGAATGAAAAAGCAATAATTATGGTGAGCTCTAAAAAGAGGCGTCAGTGATGAAATGACCACAGGATTTGATCTTGGACGTCCCCAGTGACAAAGATGAGAATAATTTCAGTAGAGTTTTGAGAATAGAAGCCTAGAAAGAGTAGCTTCAAAAAAAGCAGTGAGCCTAAAAAGACAAAATAATAAATAACAAATTTAATACATTTTCTTATAAACTGATAAAACCCAAGAAAAATATTTTATTTATGTATCTCCAAGATTATCCCCTATTCCTTCTGCATAGTATACACTTAAAATAAATGTTTGAAAGCTATTACTTCATCAGTATATGAAATTAAGTTTCAGAGTGTTACAAGCTATTCTCTTTAAATTATTATAAATAATTATAAATGTATAATAGTATTCCCATTTCACTTCTAATGAAGTGGGACTTCATCTCCATTTTTTTCTAATGGCGCTGGAGGAACTAATAAAAAGAGTCGCTTATATTATTTTATTTTTGAAACAGAGTCTTGCTCTTGTTACCCAGGCTGGAGTGCAATGGCGCGATCTCGGCTCACAGCAACCTCCACCTCCTGGATTCAGGCAATTCTCCTGCCTCAGCCTCCCGAGTGGCTGGGATTACAGGCACGCGCCACCATGCCCAGCTAATTTTTTGTATTTTTAGTAGAGACGGAGTTTCACCATGTTGACCAGGATGGTCTCGATCTCTTGACCTCGTGATCCACCCGCCTCGGCCTCCCAAAGTGCTGGGATTACAGGCTTGAGCCACCGCGCCCAGCCTATTTTAAGCAACCTATTCCTAATGATGCATATTGTAGTCCTAGGATCTTCAAATCCCTTCATTCATAATTATATTCTTCTCATAATTATTAAGATTTATATCATATTACACAGTTTTGTCTGTTGTAAAACAGCCATTATATAAAAATATTCCCATATAATCCCTATATAAGTATGTATTATATTTGTATGTATATTTTCTTATATTTACTAAGTCTGTCTTTTCACCTTTTTCATTTATTACGAGGCACATTTTTTAGCATTATATATTTATCATATACTTAGACTGAAAAGAAGAAAGCAAAATTAAGGCTGTGATTTTTTTATTGTATCTGGTGACATATTCTAATAATTTTGTTATGTAATATAATGCATTTTTATCTGTAATTATAAGTGCTATATAGTATTTTTCTCCAGTAGCTTTTTATTTATGAATAATTAATATTTCAAATATTTCATTTTTAATTCTTATGCACTGAAATTGAGAAAAGTGAGCTGTAAAATAAATCCATGAAAAAAATTGTGATTTCCCTTGTAGAGCTATGTAATATATTTTTTTACATAGTTCATTACATGGATATGTACATACTTTTCTGATTTGAAACTGTCCAATATTACATTAAAAATAGATTTTAATTTTACAATCTTGAACTCCAGAGGCTTTATTATGTAGCAAAATTTGTGCCATTGTAAAGCAATCAATTAATAGACTATTATCTGGAGTCTATGAAAAGATTACTAACAGCACAAGTAAACTACTATCATCTTTCCAGTAACATCATTCTCCTCTGGAGACACCTGGTACAACAATATAATTACCATTAGTAAATCTCAGGGAATATGCTAAATTTAAATTGAAGTAATCAAATTTTCTCGCTCAATTGAGAATATGTACTAGTCAGGCATCAAGTATACAACAATTTTGTCTTTTAAAATTGCAATAACTTCAAATATACACAAAAGCATAAACGGGGTAATACATACATATTGTTTTGTTTTGGTTTTGGAGCTTACATTTTTGCTATTATATTGACTTAGTGGCAAAAGATATTCAGGTGATAATAGTGAACATTTTTAAATAGCTAAAAGCTATTTTAATACTTTAGTTCCTGTCCAAAAAATTTAATAGTCAGCAATGTACCTTGAGCACAAAATCAATAATGAACTAGCATACCAAGTAATATTTATGTATATTCACAATACATAATTCCATTAACATTTGTTTCAAGGATATTTTAAGTAACATTAATTTTGTTTCTTATTGAATCACATTATCAAGTTTATCAAAATAAGATATTGCACATTTCAGCTGATAAGAACAGTAGTCAAAAAATTATATGATGACATTATTTAGGCTCATTTATCAGTGAGGTCTTAATGTTCACCTTCAACTGGGTTTAAAAGAGCTGATGGGTCAAGAATAATGAAAACCAAGACAACCATTAGTTTAATAGCAGTGGATGTCACTAATGACCTTCAATAAGAGCAGTATCAGTGGAGTGCTGTAAGTGCCACCTTCATTTGTACTGGTAGAAAAAAAAGAATATTAAGAGAAAAAATAGAGGAAGTGAGCTTAGATAGCACCTATAAGATTTTTATTGCTCTTACTGTGGTTGTGGTTATTGCTTTTTGTTTGCAAAGGGAAGGAGAAAAAAATCAAGTAAAGAAAGGTCAAAACTGTTCATGAGCTTATTTTATTTATTTTTAAAGTTAATAAAACTTTTCATTGAATATGTGAAAGCTTCCTATAGAATGAAGAAAATGATGATACAAGAGAGGAACTAAAAAATTGTCAATATGCTTGAGTTGCATAAGGAGGATACAATTTTTATATACAAATAGTGTTAAATACTCTTGTAGAAATATAGATAGCATGGAGAAAATAGTCATGTATATATAGGTACAGGTGGGCAGATGCTGTGAATAGAGCATCCACAGGTTGTCTTCTTGTTTATTTGTAAGGGAAATGGACGGCACTGTCAAAGTGGAAGCTCAGAATGTGCAACAGTTTGGTGGAGATTGAAAGAAAAAAGAAAATCTCAACCGTATCAAGAAGAGTGGGATAATAAAAGAATTAGGATCCAAAAGGGAAGTAGGGCAGTTAAGGGGCTAGTAACTTTTGGTAAAGTGTTAAGGAGTACACTTAGGTCAATTAGTATGAATTTAAATTGGCTCCATTACAATGACTTTGTATTGTACTCTGGAGGTAATCAGCTATGTGGGTCCAGACATGGAACACCCCGAGACTGGATTTTTGTTTGGTCAGAGTAGCAAAATGGATTTAAAGAAGACAAAGGAATGAAGGATACGTGCAAGGTTCTGTTAGGCTTCTAGATTTCAGGTGTTGATATATCAAATTAAGTGACCTGGAGCCATCGCATGTGATGTTCAGAGACTGGAGTGACCAGAATTAAAATTATAGATGCCAGACTACTGGCAATATTATTTATATGACCACAATTAACAAGAGAATTTCGAGAGGAATAATGTTGAAGACAGCGGGAGTGGACTCAATGTTGAAATCTTCTATTGTAATATCTATATAAAAGGGATAAAGTAATATTTTTTCCACACTAATTTGCTGGCATTGATATTAGTAAGCTCAATTCTCTGTAAATGTACTATGCTTTGACTATATTTTACTATACTTTTACTGTCTGATTATTTGTAGTTCCCTTGTAGTAATGCAGGGAGATAAAAGAGGGAAAAATAGCGGTGGTTTATTTTCTCCTTTTACTCTGGAGCAACAAGGTCCTTTTACCCGTTTTTTTTTGTTTTTTTTTGTTTTTTTTTTTCAGCACCGAAATATGAGTTTTTCCTTGGGATGGTTGGGACTGTTCTGCCATTGACATTCCAGAGTATAGTTCCTTCTCTGGGGTTGGTATACAAATAAACAAACAAAAAGCAACACCTAACAAACAGTTAATGGGGATTCCCCACACGCTCTGCTTCCAGGACTCAGGCCCATCCTTGAGCCAAAGCTTTAGGAAAGAAACAAAGAAGACAAAATAAATCACCTCAGTGCTATGTTGCTCTTTCTTGAGGTTTTGAATCCCTTCTCAATCTGTGTGCTTTTTTATTTTTCAGAGTCCTTGGACATTTGTGTTTATGTATTAGATCAATAAATTTCCATTGTAATCTGTGGGAAAAATAGAATTGAATAAGTCCACTTTTACCAATACTAGAGTTCCAAGATTGCATTATTTAATTGATAAAAATAAACTTATGTGCAAAGGAAAAAATAATCACAACCAATAGTAGAAGGAAAATTGAGATTTCTTTGAGAAAAAAATTTGCAGATACAATGAGAATTTATCATATAGATAGCATATCTATTACAGATAGCACATTAAGAATTAAAATTTGTTTTTGGCATTAACTTCAAGTTAAAATATATATATTTTCATTACTGTGAGTTATTAAAAATAATATGTATACACATTTAGATAACCTAAAAATTGTTTTTGTTAGTTAGTGTTTTTGTTAGTTTTGTGTAATTAGTTGTATGCAAGAATATTTTTTCTAAAATATTATTTATTAGATGTTAAATGCATGTTCTCTTTTGCTCTTTGTAATATTTTATAAGACGAAAAACTAAGGTAATATAAAATTGAAATATCTTATAAGCATTCCTATGGAATAAATAATATAACACTCATGAGAAAAAAATTACCATGCACCTAGTAAAATTCTATGACAGCCTCAGTAAGAAAGAAAGGATTATCATACTCTTTATGAAGTCTCTTTGTATGTGATGTACTGACACTTATTTGTTTTAGGACAGAATAATGTTGTAATGTATTTCTTGATCAAAATATGATAGCCATCCAATTTAAGTAAAAACTGCCATACTAAACGTTAAGCATTTAGTTTCTATTTGAAAGCATGCCAGATAGTGTATACGTGGTGTGTGGCGTGTGTATCTGCACATACAAAAAGAGAATCGTTTGATATTGCATCAGAAATGTCCAAGTGCACAAGCCAAAGATAAACAGTACAGTGACAAAATTTCTGTATCATTCAATGTCATATGCCTTGGCTGCAGCATCCCATTAAAAGTCACATAAATTATTGTCCAGTTTTACTTCAATGGTTGGAAATAAATTACTTCCACATCTCTTATGGATTAAGTTATCTCTATGCCTACATATAAATCATGCTGAAAGAAACCAAATTACCCCCCAAATGCTCATAGACCCACATTCTTCATTCATAATAACACACATTTCATCTACAGACATTTAATAGTGTAGTGCAGTTAATATGTTTTAAAGATGACCCTATAACACTCAGGATTATTAACTACAACAAATCTGAACAGCAATTCAAGGTTGCTAGTTTCTTGTCAGTATAGTAGATCACTTTAATTCAAGATATACCTGATACATTTCAGCTGCTCTCTACTTTTAAAAGCAATTTTCTCTACTCCCTCCTTTCAGGACCAATAAAAGAAAAAGAGTCAGAATGTTAGGGTAACTTTAATTTAGTTACTTCAGCTCTAGAGTGTTTAAATCTGTCCTGGTTTAAATATAACTTCAGCTGCTTAAAACTTATCTTCTACTACATGTTCCAACTTTAAAACTCACAGAGTTAGTTTTAAGAAGGCATTATAGATTTTTTTTTATTTGAAAAGTAACTCAGCCATGACTTTGCAACTGAATTTCAGTCAGAACTGCCATAATTGAACTAAATATTGCAGAGGAAATATTAAACAAAAACAAAAAGTTTTGAAAATGATGCACTCATTTTTCATTACATCAAAGACAAATGTCTTAATATATATGCATTTTTCAAAACTGGAATTAAAAAGATAAGGAAACAGCATTTATAGAACTGCTTAAATAATAATGCTAATAAAGATGAATAGAAATAATAAAAATAAAAACAGGACTTTAATTGATTATAGGCTACTATTACTAACAGAAAGTTTGGTGAAGAGAAGACATATTGCAATCAAAATATATCTATTCTATAAATAATGGTATGTTTTGCAAATCATATGCAATTGGAGTAATTCATTACATCATAAGAAAAAGGATTGAAATGTTAATTTAGGCTCATACACACCATAAACTCATCCAATACTAATGTTAAGAAAAATTCAACTACAGAGAATCATCACATTGAGGCAAAACATTATTTTCTTAGAGAAGTCAGGCATATCTGAATCTGTCTCTCATATTTCCCAGCAAAAAAAAAAAAGTAGCCTTTTGTTCCAGAATTATGGTCCATTATTGTTTTTGATTTAATAGGTAAAAAGTTTTGAGCAGAAATCCTACTAAAGCCAATTTAAAATATAATATATTTTTTAACTTTCTGCTAAAAGATCAAATTGGGGATCATTACCACATTCAGAAGTAGATTTACTGGGGTCATTCATTACAGCAAATGGAGATTCCCAACAGAGATGAACAGGATACAACCTGGGTTTAACTCTTTGTTTCCCAGTTTTGATATTGTATTAGTATGACAACTACATTCTACATGTGGATTTAGTTAGGACAAAGGAGAGGAAAAGTGATGGATTCAATAAAGGAGAATAAAGGTAATAAAAAGAAAGGTTATTCTCCAATAAAAAACAGTTGAAGGGGAAAATGTAAAATATATATTCTGTTATATATTTCAGTGTTACACTGAATATGTAGTAGTGTATTACAAACAGAAAGGATGCAACCATAACAATCTGGTCATGTTCAAAATGCATACATATTTTTATGTGACAAACTAAGGCATGTGCATTTTATATGACAACTTTCTTCCTCATGAATGTCCACATTTATTTTAAAAAAATCTTTCTTCAGTAAAGAAACAGTTTACCAAAAAAATTATAGAAGAAAATACTGTATTGAAGATGAGATATTAAAAACAAAAATGCAGAATTCTCTATACTTAATATACATCTCATAATACAAATAAGTGGCAATTTCAAAGACATAAAGTTTGGTTGGTGTGTAAAAGTTCAGATTAAAAGCCATAGTGCAAATAGAATAATAAAGGTATACTTCCCATAAGAACATATTGTTAATGCTTTATATTAATTATCGAGATGTGAGTACAGATACTGTAATGTTATGGATAATATTCGCTTTAGGAATTTACTGTTTACTTGTTATTTATTGTTTTACATATGCTAGCTAAAAATTATAAAAACTTTCAAAATTTGACAACTGTTTATCCTGATCATATATGAGGGTATTTTAACGAATTTTTTATTTATGCATATGTGTATGTGTGTGTGTGTGTATACATGTATATAATATACATATATATGATAGACATACATCTTAACATAAATTTTGCCTCTAATTATACATAGTCTATTTCATAAGTTCAAAGACTTGTCTTATCACATTTTAATGATTTTGAAGATTTCCATAGTGTAAAATTATATTAAAATACACCTACCAGCCATTACCAAGAAGCACAAGTTATGAGGAAGAGTATGACGTTGTTGGATTACTAGACAAAATCTGCCCTCAAATGTAAGGAATAATTGTTCATGTTACATAGAGAGACTTTAAAACAATAACGATAATTACTAAAAGGGAGTCTGTTTCTTGTTATTAACATGTACGAGTAATTCTAAACAGTCAGTCATAAAATATTACTCTCTGAAACGCTAGACACTTCTGCCAAAAAAAAGTAAAACTACTCTTTAAAGCTTTATTGATGTGTTTGTAATAAATTGATTTAAAATTTAATGTCTTTTCTAAAACAATTTAATTATGGATGTTCTTATCATCAAATTGGAAATGCAGATGAAATTATAATCCCCAGAAACAATACTAACCATTGAGGCTGCAAGAGATAGAAATTACCAGTGCTCAGTGGTGCTTAATTTAATCTGAAAATTAAAGTAAACCAACAAAATCTCTGAAAGTAAAAAAAACTAAGATTCAAATTATTATTTTCATATTTAGAAAAAAGCGAGGTACTTCAAAATAAGTGTGAGCTTGCACAAATAGTAAAAATGTTACTATACATTATAGCACTTATTCTTTTTCATTATAAAAATTGCTGTTATAAATCCATGTATTTCTCTAATAGCTAATGTGAAAATTGCTTTTATTGCTTAACATGCTGTTCATAATAAATGTAATAATAAGTAATTAAATTGTCTCTTGGTCTCACATCTCTTAATTTCACACAGAAAAAAAAAGACTGACTCTTGAGAAGTTTATAGCTTTATGTCTCTAAGACATCTGTGTACATCAAATTAATTTTGGACCACATAGTATATTACAAAGCATGACAACATCAATGTTTGTATCATTGTTGCAGTGGCCTATATAGGCAAACTTCATTAAAAAATTATTGTATATCTTCATATAATAACACTTGTGTAATATATAATGCACACCTCCATATCAAGAGATACTTTCTTATAATAGAAACAGAAAAGATATATATAACTTCCAAAAGTGAGTCCTAAGATCTCAAAGAATAAATATTTCCAAATGGATCAAAATTGTCAAATCTAACACAGAAATTGAATATTCAAGGACATTTCCACGTATCTTCTGATCATAAGATAAGCAGATTCAATCAAACATCATCATTTCCCCACACCTTAACTCTATATAAACTACTTGATGCCAACTTGAGCAAATCAGAATAAACAAGTAAATTGAATTGAAATAAAGAGCATAATAGGAAATGCTAGGGGTCTCATTTGCTTGTTTTAAATATTCAAATACTACTTTTTATATAAAAAGAAACCCCAAATAAGAAACAAAATAAACCATCAAATCATAAATAATATTAATATATGATTTTAAAACTTTTTATTGTATTTGTTTATTTTTATTGATACATATTAGATGTTCATATTTTGGGGGTATGTGTGACAATCTGATACATTTATATAATAAATCAGAGTAATTGGGATATATACATCACCTTAAATATGATTTCTTTAGAAACATTCAAATTATTCTCTTCTGTATTTTGAAGTGTACAAATAATAATGTCAATTATAGTCGCCCTACTAATCCTCAGGTTTTATTTCTTCTTTGTAAGAGTATATATTTACCTATTAATTAATCTTGCTTTATCCCTTTCCCCCACCTTTCCCCACCCCTCCTGGCCTCTGGTAACCAGTAATTTCTCTCTTCAGGAGATCTACTTTTTAAGTCTTCT